AAGAGGTTGCACTAGATGCCCCTGAGGTCTTTTATGTCTCTGGAGCTACGATGTCATGGTACCTCTGGGACCTCAGTTTCCTCTTCTGTAAAATGAGGTTAATACCCTCTATTTATATGACCTGCTTTGCACAGTTGCTGTGCAGAAAGTGCTTTTGAAGCATAAAACATCCAGAAATATAGATCCTCTAGTTCTGAAAAATACAGCAACATTGTTCCCCAAAAGTATATAATTCCCTCACAGCATTCTGTGCACCAGGAGTTCAGCACATCTGAGCTGTGGGCATCATAGATTTAGTACAATAGCCAGACTTTGTTTGGGTAGAGAGCCAGCCTCGGGGTCAGGTCCTGCCCAGACACTGGCCAGCTGACCCTGGGCATCTAGCACTTGCAAAGCAAGTGAGTGAGTGGAGTGGAGGGTGAGTGGAGGGATTGCCCTCACTGGGAGTCCCCCAGTCACTGAAATGACAGGTCCAGAATTCACAACGATAGAGCAAAGCACACCCCCCACAGCTGCCCTTCTTTCACACTGCCTTTATCAACCTTGCACACCTTCACCAGTCTGTGTGGAATGATTTCTACCTTTCCTGCATGAGCTACGCTTGCTCTGCCCAGTAATCTCTCTTTCTCTTCTTTTCTCTTCTCTCTCTCCCCCTCCCCCTCCCTCTTGTGGCTTCTTCCTCGGCTCTCCCCATCCCTTCTTGTCCTTCACCATGGGTGCAGAGCCTGAAAATGGAACAGAGAGTGGACTCCCTGCAGAAGAAGAAGAGACCGAGGGACCGGCAGGACCCGCCTGAGATGGATCTGCCACTCCAGGACCTCCAGAGACCTTCCTGGGGCTTCTGCAGATCAGTTTGAATGGATCTCCATGGGCACTGGACATGTCTGATCCAGCCCCGAGTCCTTCACGGACTGCTCCAGACACATGTCCAAATTCTTCAGCGACTCCTTTAGAGTGTTCCCTCCCTTTCCCTGCTCATTCTCTGACAGACTCGGGAGCATCACTGAAAAACAGTGAATTAGGTTCTTGGCAATGCTGAGTAGCTTGAACCTCCTTCAAAGCACAGACTGTGTCTGAGATCCAGAGATAAATGACTCTTAACCTGTAGCTAAGGGAGACCAGAATGGGGGTCATGGTAGACTCATGAGCTCCATGGAGCCATCAGAGTGATTTTGGCAAAACTCATTTATGCTTAATTGTTTTCACTATTTAACTTGCTGTTCATTCGTCCTAGAAGAGGGTGGTCTTAGGGATGCTCCTTGTGGGGTATGACTTGAGGGGCTCTCAACAGGCCTTATTGCCCACCTGTCACCATTAGAGATGCACTCCTTTGGGCTTTGGAGGCTTTTCCATCTCCAATGAGAAACACTTATGTACACCATGAAAATGCAGCAACCCTGAAATGATATAACCAGATGGCACCTTGTAGCTCTCTGAACAGAAAGTAGCTTTGTTCATGGCTGGCTCTCTGAACGGAAAGCCTAGTGCCTTGTTGGGTAATAGAGATGGGCCCCAATCCAAAGTGCCTTCCTCCTCCCCTCCTCCATTTGTACCCTCAAGATCTTCCCCAGTTCAGACCTTGTCCAGAGAGAGGTCTGAATATGGCTGTGGTACCAGAGGGCACTTTGGGAAACTAGGAATGGTGATTTGGCCAGACCTCATTTAGAGGTCACTGGGGGTGAGGACCAGGGGGGTTGGCCCTCATTCTGATGATCCTCCTCTCTGCTCAGCACACCTGAGTCTCAACATCTAGAGGAAGTAACCAACAGATAGAAGCAAAGTGGGGAGACCTGGTTCAGGAATAGATAAGCCGTAAAGGAAGGAAAAGAAATAGGAATCAGTCATAGGCATTGAGGGAGGAGAGAGACAAAGCTGTGATTCAGGAATAGAAGAGAAAGAGTTAAGAGAGACAGAGGGAGACTGAGGAAGTGCAAAAGCAAAGAATACTCTTGGCCTAACAGTATGAAAGTGAAGGGAGAGGAAGGTGCAAAACTCTGACCACCGAGGGCCTTGTTCATAGGCAGACATCCAGCCATGGGACTCTGCAATGTGTCAGGCTGCAGGAGAAAGAACCCATCTGTCCCAGTCAGAGAGGTGAAGGGAAAGTCTTGGCTACAAACTCCTTCCAATAATGCTATGGAAATCTGGGCTCAGAAAAGGGAGGCTGACATGGAATGCAGAAAAGACAGACAAGAGATAAAAACTGATCTAATCACATGTAGACGGAGTAATGGGAAGGCTGCATAGAGTTTTAAAATAAATAAATGTCTTTACCTTCCATTGACCCCAGAGTCTGCCTCCATTAATATGTCTGGGGTCTTTTTTCATGGATCAGACCACCTAATCTAATGAGAATAGCCATCTAAAGAATCATGGGATCTCCTCCCCTTAACCATGCTTGACTCAAATTGGTAGGAAGGTGGGAAGGGGGAGGAGGGGAGCTGAAAAATATTTGTAGTGAGACAATTATCTGATCAGCTAATGAGATGGGGGGTGAGAGGGAGAATTCACAATGTCAGAATATAGTCTAAGGTTGTGGATGAATATTCTCTACCCATTACCAAAAAGAGGGCAGCTTAAGTTCTGAGTGAGAAAGGTCATTAAAAATTCCTAGCAAAAATCCAATTCCCTAAGATTAACTATAGTCCGGCTTTGGACGTTTGTGTGTATATGCTGCAAATCAAGAGAAAGCCAATGTCTAGCATTAGCCAGATAATATACAATGTCAAATCGCTAAAGTCATACATTAGCCAGAGGACCTTGCTAATATGCACTCTGCAATGCTAATGGAAATAGAATAAAATCCCATCTTTGCAAATAGCATGAAGATTATTCAGCCAAGTCAACCCTGAAAGCTTCAATCACGTTACCTAAGGTACATTTACAACTTAAATTAGTTGTCTCCTGTGTTTCCATTCATATGTTTTCATCCACAATACCCAGCCCAACCACAAACATTTCTAGCCTTTTGAGCTAATGATTCTAGACATCACAGCATGTATTGCACATTAGCTGTGACACAGCTACCTGTATGCATATCAATGGAATTCATTGAGTCCTATAGGACTCTACTGGCTCAGAATCTGACATTAATGAGAGGAAAACTGAAGAGGAAGAGAAGGGTCTGCAAAAGTACAGGAAAAGGGGCAGCTAGATGGTATAGTGGATAGAGCACCAGCCCTGGAGTCAGGAAGACCTGAGTTCAAATCTGGCCTCAGACACTTACTAGCTGTGTGAGCCTGGGCAAGTCATTTAACACCAAAAAGAAAGAAAGAAAGAAAGAAAGAAAGAAAGAAAGAAAGAAAGAAAGAAAGAAAGAAAGAAAGAAAGAAAGAAAGAAAGAAAGAAAGAAAGAAAGAAAGAAAGAAAGAAAGAAAGAAAGAAAGAAAGAAAGAAAGAAAGAAAGAAAGAAAGAAAGAAAGAAAGAAAGAATAGAGAAGAGAAGAGAAGTACAGGAAAATACCTCTAATTCCAGGAAGGAAGACTTTCACAAGAGTACAGGATACCAGAGTACAATTTCCCAGAGCTAAACTTTTTGGAGAACACTTTCCCTTTTACCCTTTCTCTGTGTAGATGATGCTGAGAATATGTCACCCTTTGAATGAAAGGTGTTGCTGTTCTGCAGGAAAATGGGCAGCACCTTGAGCCTTAGTACTGCTAAGAGGCAGGCTCGAGATGTAGGGTCCTGGACCATGAAATGGGCTGGAAGCCACCTGGTTTGGGCAGGTGAGAGAGTGAGTAAAAACCACAGAGAGGGACTACTGAAGGTGACTTTCTCTTCCCTTGGTTCTCTGGGGGATTGAGATGTTTCAGTTCCTCCAGGAATCTCAAAAAAGGGAGAAGGTGATGGGGGAACCCAGTGTCACTGAGTCTCCGCCAAGACTAGCTGAAAGCCGGGGTCTGACTCTAACACAGAATGTTGAGGCAGAAGAGAGAACAGGGACTTCCAAAGAACAGATGAGTCTGTGAGTGTATGAAATACAAAATGATGAACCTGTGAAATGCCATCACAACCACCTACAAGGGATCTATAATTGGGTTTTATTGTATAGATGATTGCTTGAAATAAGTCACCAGGCACCCAAGGATAAGAGAAATCCTGTCTGCTGTGGAGTTTTCTCTCTCAATGGTGAATGTTGCCAAGCCTCATGGCAGTGAGAGAATGAAAAGATGGAAGGGGTTTTTTTGGTTTTTTTCTGGACTAGGAAAACCTACAAGGGATTTTGAGAGTACACACTTCTGTCACATTTAAATTTCAAGCCCCCAAACACAATTTTGCTAAGATCCCTACCCTTCCCATCCTTCCAGGCCACAGCCCCAGGAAATGGCCCTACCATACACTGGGCTGGGGTCCCATCTGTGATACCAAAAGTTGGATTCTAAGGAGTCAGGAAGAAGGAACACCAGTCCAGACTCAGAGGCTCTCCAGAAATGAGGCACAAGCCCCCAAAACAAGGGACAGAGGGACGAGTAAAAGAAGGCCCTCTGACTCTGGCATGGGAAACCCTTGCCTCCTGCACCCCAAAGATCCCAGGCAGAACAAACTGCTCATTGCATAGAAGTGGGGGCTTCTCCCTCCCCAGCCAGAGAGGCCACCTGGGCTCAGTTCCAAAAGCCACCAGCCTTCTGAAAGAGAGGCCAGGCAGTTTCAGGATTTCTCCCCATGCTTCCTCCTGCCTGGGCCAAGATGCCTAATCACGCAGGTGCTGATCAGAATTCGATTTGGAGGCTCCCATTCTAGACTCTTATTCGTTACGAAGTCGAGGCTGGAAGAACGGCAGAGAGTGGGGCATCAGTGTAGCCAGATGTGGCCCCGAGAGTCACTGTTCTAGAAGATGCCTACGGCAGGCAGAACGTTGGGGGACCTGGGGATGGACGTGTTTGAGGGGGAGCAGGCAGCTCTCCTCCCCCACGGGGCTCATTCCAGCCCCGGCCATGGGCAGCCAGGGATGGGGGAGGTCCCCAGGCCTGAAGCTACGGCTGATTCTCTTGTCTCCCAGTTGTAGACTGCAGCACCCCAACAGAGCTGGAGCACGGGCGCGTCACCTTTGCCACCAAGAACAACATCACCACGTACAAGTCCGAGGTCCGCTACTCCTGCCAGCCACCTTATTACAAGCTGTTTCCCAACATTACAGGTGAGGGCTTCCCCCGGCATGATTCTGAGGGTGGGGGGAGACAGGGACAGGCATTCCAATACAATTCATTCTCTGTGAGGAGAACCCCTGGCTGAGCACCCCCATAAGATGTGACCCCAAGACCCTTCACTGGCCTCTTCGGGAAAGCGATTTCATTGGTTAACGGTACTCCTGCGTGAGGAGGCAGCATTTTTTCTCCCCGTCTGGTCTCAATGCTAGAGAGAGGTGTAGAAACTCCCCAAGGTTACATAGCCAGGTCAGGGTCACGGACGGGTCTTGAACCCGGCTCTCTTCTAGCTTAGTGTCTAGCTGCTTCTCGCTGCTCTTCAGGAAGAGTCGAAAATAGGAAGCCACTGAAGCGGGGTCGGAATGAGCAGCGTGGGGGAGGGGCGGGGGCTGCCCCCAGCGACCCGCTCAGACCCCACCAGGACACTGTGGCCTTCTCTGGACACCACCTTGAGAAAGACCACCATCCAGAGGGAAAGACTCAGAGAGGGACCGGGAAGGAGAAGACACCTGGAAAGAGAGAACTTCTGGACATGCGGCCTCCATCTTCAAGGGCGTGCCAGAGGGCTCACGCTTCTTTTGTCCAGCCCCAGAGGGCACGGGTGGGGTCAATTTCAGCCCGACCCAACAAGGACAGCTGGCCCTCAGTGGAAGGAGATCTCCCCTATGGGGTGACTGCCTTTCCCTGGAAGGCTGCAGTGTCTGAATACCCTTTTTTGAGCATATTGTAGCTAAAATTCAGGCTCATGTGTGGGTTAAATAGGGTAATAATAACAACAATAGTAATAATAATAGCTACCATTCACATACCATCGTAAGGGTTGGAAAGTGCTTTAAATATCATTTCATGTGATCCTGACAACCCTAGGAGCCAGGTGCTGGTGTTACTGGATAATTATTGTGTTATCAGATATGATGGCAAAGGTCCTGAATTCAAACCCTTCCTCTGACATGCACTTGTCACTTCCTTTTCTGCAAAGTGAGGGGTTGTACTGACCTCTAAGGACCTTCTAGCTCTAAAGCTGGGATGCTCCTGTCTCTGCCCCAGAGTCCAGACAGTCTGTCTGTCTGTCTGTCTCTCTGCTTCCTTCTCCACTTCCCTCTTTTCTCTCTCTCCCCTCTTCTCCTCTCTCTTTGCCTTTATTTCCCCGTCTCTGCTCCATCCCTGTCTCTGTCTCTCTCTTAACTCTTCTATTATTTTGGTTTTCCTAGGCACGTACACCTGTGAGGCCCAAGGCATCTGGATGAATGGAGAGTTGGGGAGAAAACTGCCCACTTGTCTACCAGGTACCTCACCAGGAAAGCCAGACTGGACTGGGCTACGCTGATCTGTACTGGGCTGGGCTGGACTAGACTATTTTTATACTGGGCCTTACTGGGCTGGGCCTTCTTAGCTGTATTGGGTGGGGTTGGGCTGGCCTGGGCTGGCCTGGACTATGTTTATATTGGGCCTTACTGGGCTGAGGTAGTCTGGGCTGGGCTGAGCTGGGCCAGGCTGGGCTGGGCTGTATTGGACTATATTTATATTGGGCCTTACTGGGCTGGGCCTCTTTAGCTGTATTGTGCTGGGCTGGGCTGGTATGGGCTAGAATAGGCTGACTTAGGCTAGGCTAGGCTGGACTGGTCTGGGCTTGACTTGACTATTTTTATATTGGGCGTTACTGGGCTGAGCCCTCTTAGCTGTATTGAGCTAGGCTGGGCTGGGCCAGGCTGGACTGGACTGGACTGTTTTTATACTGGGCCTTACTGGGCTAAGCTGGGCTGGCCTGGGCAGGCTGGGCTGGGCCAGGCTGGACTGGACTGGACTGTTTTTATACTGGGCCTTACTGGGCTAAGCTGGGCTGGGCTGGGCGGGCTGGGCTGGGCCAGGCTGGACTGGACTGGACTATATTTATACTGGGCCTTACTGGGCTGAGGGTCCTTAGCTATATTGAGCTGGGCTGGGCCAGGCCTCTCAGAGCACTCTCCCCACAGAGGCCCCAGGACCCAAGACCTCTGCAGGGAGTGAGGGCCTCTCTGATGATTTGCTTTAGTGATGATATCAGCTTCCAGAACAAAAGCAGCCAAGCCTCCCATCTTGCCTCCCTGAGCTGGACTGCCCACTGTCCAGGTGCCAGACGAAGGCTCCTCCCTCCCATCCTCCCCTCCTTTTTCTGCCCTCTGACAGCCGACCTGCCCTTGACTCAGGCCCTGCCCCAGGCCCTCCCCCTCCCTTGTGCCATAGGGCTGCTATCCTAGGACACAGACTCCACTTAGAAGGGCCTGTGCTGGAAGGACCAGCCCCCATCCAGAGGGACAGTGCTGGCCTTGGTGGTTTGCTCTCCCTAAGAGCTTTCACACCCTTCCTGCGGGCCTCTGTTCCATGCTCTCTGCAGTGCCCCAGAGTGGAGAGAAGGCTAGACCTGGGGTCAGGAAGACCTGGGTTCAGGTCCTGCGTCAGACACTCACTGGCTGTGTGACCCATTTCTCTGGGCCCCATTTGTGAAACAAGGACATTGCGCTTGGTGACCTCAGAGGTCCCTCTCTAGAATTTGACTGTCTTCTGGCCCACCCTGAGAGATACAAGCTGGCCAGACTCCCGGGATCTCCACCTCACACCCTGGCCATGCGGGGAGTGTCCTGCCCAGCTGGGGAGGCTGCCTGCCCTGGCTGGGCATAACGATGGGCAGGGCAGGGCAGGGCAAAGTGAGAAGCCCCGAGGCATTTACCAGGATCTTCTAGGCATTTATTTGCCCATGCCTCAGTTCAATAACTGTCAGCCCCTGTTACACTCCAAGCAGAGAGAGAGGATGGAGTGCCAGGCCTCGAAATCAGGAAGGCCTGAGTTCAGGTCCTGCCTCACGCACTCACTAGCTGTTGTGTGACCCTGGGCAAGTCACTTAAGCCTCTCAGTGGTCAAAGCAAGTCTCCAAGACTCAGGCTCAGGGGGAATGCCAACCTGCATTGGCAGAGGGAGAGTCCTCGCCTAGGACTTCCCTGGACCAATGAAATCACAGGCCCCTAACCCCACCCCTATATCCACATCCTCAGATATTTAAAGAAGTCGAGGATGAAAAGTTACTCCGTGTCTGCACTCAGGGACTTTATAATTTCAGTCCTAAGGAGAAGCAGTTCTCTAGGCAGCCAGGGGGCGCCACAGTGCACAGCCTGGGCCTAGAGTCAGAAAGACCTGAGTTCAAATCCAGCCTCAGATGCGCACTAGCTGACTGGCCCCGAGCAATTCACATCACCCTGTTTGCCTCAGTTTCCTCATCTGTAAAATGGGGATGATAATAGCACCTGCCTCTCAGGGCTGTTGCGATGGCCAAAGGATAATAGCTGGAAAGCATCTAGCACAGTGCCTGGCACACGGTGGGCCTCACAGAAATGGTAGCTACAATTATTCATTTGTGTTATTACCTCTGCTTTCTGCGCCCTAACTGCAGGGATCTGGTCTGAGCCATTCATTTTACAGAAGAGGAAACTGAGACTGAGCACTTCAGTAAACTGCCCAAGGTCACACAGGAGGTGGCAGCATCTGGACTTGAACTCCAGTCCTCTCTCTTTCCACAAATGCATGCGGTACAATGCTGAACACGGGAAAGGGAGAGGTCTGCATCTGTTGATCTAAGAAATTTGGGGTGGGAGCAGGGAGACTCCCAGCTAGGAGATCAGGGAAGGCTTCATGGAAGAGGGGGAGCCCAAGCCAAGCTTCAGAGAAAATGGATTTGAACAGGCAGAGGTTAGGAGGCAGAGTGTTTCGGGCATGATAGAAGGGGGTGGTGCAGGGTTAAGATTGATGTTTGTGTTAATGCATTGAGGCTGGGGAGAGCAGGACGGGCCTGGGGAAGGCGCCATCTGGGCAGCCCGGGGCAGTTAGGCCAGACTGTGCTTGAGCCATTGGACAGTGGATTAGGGCTGGAGAGATTCAGGGGACCAGGTGTCTGAGGGCATTTCTATCCAGGGATCAATTAGAAAAGATGCTTCTTCAGGAGGACCTGAGTTCAATTCTGGCCTCAGACACTTACCAGCTGTGTGACCCTGGGCGAGTCATCTAACCCTGATAGAAAGAAAGAAAGAAAGAAAGAGAGAGAGAGAGAGAGAGAGAGAGAGAGAGAGAGAGAGAGAGAAGAGAGAAAGAAAGAAAGAAAGAAAGAAAGAAAGAAAGAAAGAAAGAAAGAAAGAAAGAAAGAAAGAAAGAAAGAAAGAAAGAAAGGAAGAAAGGAAGGAAGAAAGAAAGAGAAAAGAAAAGATGCTCCTGGGCTTTGTTCCAGCTCCAAGACTCTGTGGCAGAACAAGGATGGCTGCCTCTTCTAAATCAATGGGAAAGTCTCCAGCTTCAGCTAAGTGACTCCCAGGCTTCCACAGGCCAGGGCGGTGAAGTCCTATTGATCATTTCTTATTTTAAAAAGTTTTCTTCAGGCCAGTGGGATTAGGGAATCAGCATCTCAGAGCTGGAGGGGGCCTCAGAGGGCGGTTAGTCCAAACTACCTCTGAACAGGGGGTCAAGTCAAATCACTAAGTATTTATTAAGCACCTACTGTGTGCTAAGTGCTGTGCTATGTGCTGGGGACACAAAGAAAGGCCCAAACAGTCCCGTCCTTGGTCTCAGTCGCCTCCCACCAGAAGTATTTTATTGTCCCAGCATCTCACCCAACTCCACACACCTGGGTGGAGGACAGCTCATGCCTGTCACCTCCCTTGTCCTCTCAAAATGGCGCTTCCTTATGGAGCTTCATCATGGTCATGTTTCCCACCCCTAAGGCCACGATCCCTGAGCTCCATTTTCTACAAGGAGAGCTGTTTGCCTCCAGGCTGTCTGTGAGTCACCAGAGAGGAAGGGAGAAGGGCTGGGCCCAGACCTCTGGCCACTGCTTGGCCAGCTCATTGCTCCTTTGTGCCCAGACCTCAGCCACTGGCCTGGCCTGCCTTCCTTGGGAAGCTGCTCCTGCTCCTCTGCTTTTCCCAAACAGCTTCTGGGTAGAGCGAGCCCTGGGCCAGGCCCAGTCCACAGCCAACAGTCAGAAGCAGAGCCCCCTCCAGGCTTTCCTTCCTCCTCTCCTTCAAAAGCAGCATGGGCTAGGTACTGGGGATGCCCAGGAAAGCCTTGCCCTCAAAAAGCTCTCTTTCTATGGAGAGTAGATAGCAGATGCACAATTAAGTGAGTGCTAATACATGCTAATACATACAAAGTATTACAGGAGGAGCCCAGGCATGGTCATGGGGAAAAGCTTCTCATGGGACATGCTCTTGAGACCAGTTTTAAAGGGAGCTGGGGATTCTGAGGCAAGAGTCAGGAATGAGAGCATTTGGGGGAGAGGGGGCCCCGCCCAAGGTGGGAACCAGGGCCCTGTTTAGAGGGGCCTCTCAACCCAGAGGGCAAGTGAAGGGGGTGACAAAGGCTCCCGTCTCTGCGGAGCAGACAAAAGCCTGCAGTGGCCAGTGCTCGTAGGACAGCAGGCTGGTGGTTCTTTCTCCGTGGGCCTCACCTGCTTCCAGGTCTAGAACTGACTGTTATTCTCATCTCAGACCTCTCTTCCCATCTCAAAATCTCATAGATGCAGGAGGTCTCAGAGGCCAGCACATCCACCCCAAACATGAACAAAAGCCCTTCTCGCAACCAAACGTCTGCCTTGGCTCAAAGACCTCCAACAATGGGGAAAGCCCCGCTGATGCCAAGGTCACCCCTGCCCTCCAGAGCAGTACAGCTTGTGTGGCAGCTTTTCCTGATCTCACACCTAAATCACCTCCCTTGCAGTTTCTTCCCAGGGCTCCTGGTTCTCCTCTCTGGCATCAAACAGGGCAAAGTGCATCCCCTTTCCATATGACACGGACCCGATCAATCAATCTATCACTGGTGAGGGCAGAAGGATGAAAGGGGGGTAACTGGCCTTGGCTGGTGGGGTGCCAGGAATGCTCCTCTCAGCCCAGAGGCTGCCTGTTGAACAGCCAGGGATGCCTGGCTTTCTGAAGCCACTGGCCTTTCTCAAAGAATCCCATCTCCCAGCCTTGAGTGTGCCCACAGAGCTTGCCCACAGCCAACTGAGCAGCACTCCGAGGCATGTTTGCTCCTGGAGGGCAAGTATGTGCATGCTTGGGGGGTGCAGGAGAAAGGGACTTACCTGGCACCAACCACTGGGTGAGAAGAAGGGCACCCCAGGGCACCCAGAGGGTTCTAAGCTGCTCTGGCCCTGACCTGTGCTGGAGAGGTGGGGGGGGTAGGGCCAGGGGGGACTAGTGAGCATTTGGGTTCAAGGCTGTGAAGGATCATGGGCTTACTGGATCTAAAAGTTCAGAGACCATCAGTG